CTATAAATAATATATTGTTTTGCATGTTATACAATTTTATAACCATGGCATCATAATATACATATTCAGCTGAAACTTGCTTTTTCTCAACATTGTTTTTGAGACTTACCTACTTTAATACATGATACTGTATTAATCTTAAATAATGTATGTTAAGGTTATATGCAAATATCACATTATTTTAATTCATTCTCCTACTGATAAAGAGAGTTTTTTAATATATCAGTTTGTTGTACTATTGAGGGTACATATGAATAAAGCTCTGCCTCAGAACATACCACATGGTATTGTTACTGTGAGAAGCAGCTCAATCACAAATCAAACTTTCTCTTGTAGAGTTAGCTTCTTGTGACTCATAATTGGACAGAGGGAATCACAGTAACTATAAATGTCAGATGCTTAAAAAGTATAGAGGTACTTGAAGGAACCCGTACTCTATAAAGGATAAATACTGATATCTTTTTACCCCAGAATGTCAAAATACATTACTGTGGACTCAGATAGTTTTTCAAAAATGTCTGAATTTTGGATTAGCTCCATAATTTCAGTAGAGTTCAGTAATTGGTTTCTGGATTGGTAATATGATTTTACCATTGGATGAGCATAGATATACAAAAAACCAGGCTCATTTTTCTTTTTCAGAGCTTAGAAAATGTGACAAATTTCAGATGCTGAACCAACATTAGATTTCATAGCATAAAACTAACATAGCATAATGGATATAAAGCTTATACTTCAAACCACTAATTTCCCCTAATTAAATCTAAATATATATGACATATTGAAATATCACTCAAACATCTCCTACCTGAACTTTGGTTTTAATCATCCCTGAAAGAGAATGCCTATTCTGACTGTCCCTTCAGTGATACTCAGTTTCAATTGCTCTGGAGGTTGACTGCCTAACTTTTAGAGTTCTCAAATACTCTTTGTAATCCATATTAGTCTCATGGTGGCCAAGTTGTCTTCATTTAAGTTGGATGATACATCAGTTAACCTAAGTTAAGTTATTCTATTGTAATAATCCCTAAATCGAAATTACTTACAGGAAGGTTTCTTTCTCTTCATATTATTTGTCAATTGCAGTCATCTTCAACTTTGTTCCATCATTCTGGGACCCAGGTGAAGGGGCATCACCTCTTTGGGACATGCCATTCTTGTCATACAAGGAAGAGAGAGATGTTAGAACTAAGTAATGACTATTAAAGTTCCTGCTCAATGTGGCACTCATCACTTCCCTTCATATTTCATTGAACAAATTAAGGCAAAAGGCCAAGCCTGCCATTCAACAAGGTGAGGAGGTAAAGTCCTCCCATTGGAAGGGACATAAATATTTGGGAACAGTAATTTGATTTACCACAGAGGTTATTTTTATTCTCAAGAAGGTATCCTTTTGATTGACTTTTGGAATATTTATAAAATCATTTTTTTTAGGTTTTTACTAATCATACAAGCAAGACTTTCTTATCTTTGAGACGGGGTTTAGTCCAGTTTAATATTTTCTATTATACTACCAAAAAATAAGAATTAAAATTACTTTGAAAAATTAATAAATATCTAGAGAACCCATGCATATAATTGTGATCTAAGTATAACCAATATTAACATTATAAACTGAACTAATTGAAATCTTTACCATATCACTCCAAATGAAGGAAAATAACTGATTACCACCCCACTCCTGTTCCAGCCATCAGGAGACCCACAAAAATAATTTCATGTAGTTAATATTTTGGATGAGACTGTTCAAGTAGTCTCCTCAAATGTGATGAAAATCTCTCTATTTTTGTGTGACGTTACAAGGATGAGAGATTTAATTTACATAGGTGGCAAATAATAGATTTTTAGATTTAATTATATATGACATGTACATTTTCTTTTTAATCTAGCAATTCTTCTTTCTGTAGTACTTTTTAACAGTTATTTGTAAATAGATGGCATCTTGGGCACTGAGCCCAGCTTTGCTTAATCTTACTGTCTTTGCAGCAGTCTATTTCTATTTTAAGATACTTTGGTAATTATTGGTTTGTTTTCTAAAAATGGAGTAAATGATCTCATTTTGGGGAGCTAACTTCTTCTTAAATGATTAGATGATTTAAAACAACTCTGGCTTTTCGATAACAGATGTGACAACAAAATCACACTGCACAACAAAATTTATTCACTCATGGAATAATAATAATATTATTATTTATAGCTAGCACTTATAAAATGCTACTGGTATTGTTCTAAGTGGTTTACATATATTGATTCATCTAGTCCTCACAACCCTGTGAGATAAGATATTAATATTATCCCCATTGCATAGATGAAGGATCTATAATACCTACTTTAATATAGATCTAAATTCAGCTTTGGAATAATAAGTCATGGTTGACAGGATTTATCAGCAAGACTAGGAAGTTGGCCAGTTAAAGCAGGAAACCAACAGAAGAAAGGGAAGTAGTAGCAGAAGCTGTTTAGAGGTTTCCTGAATCTTACTCTATTCTCTTAATAGAAGAATTTCAAACAAGCAACTTAGTCAATTCTTTTAAGCTGTTAAGCAAATTATTTTCTACTTAGCTTTAGGTCAACAAATAATAACCTTTTAGTTCTTGTGAAAGGCAAACTCTGGAACTTATACATAGGTTACATTATGATCTTGAAACATTAGCTTTTTTTAATCTTCAAAGGAACTCAGGAACTCAGGAATTGTTCTTCTAGTTAGAACAGAAACAAAGTGCATTCCAATTCCAATTTTCCTTTAGATGTTTCATTACCTTCTCAATGGCTATGGGACCACAACCTATTGTGGGATGACTGCACTTAATATAGTAGCAAAGAGGAAGTCTATGAGTAGCTCTGACAATCTAGCCATTTTTAAGATATGTTGGTGGACCATTGTATGTGTATAAAATGTTTTTATAGGGATAGATTTTGTTTTATATGATGATATAATATAACAGGTAAACAATTAATGGAAATAATAATTAACTCCAATTCATGGTTACCCAGTTGTCTTTGATTTAAAAACAACTGAAGATTAAAAACATTATATAACATAAAGAAATCAAATGAGAATATGAATTTTATTTATAGTAGTTTTAATTTGCTGTCTATAACTTTTTCATGGTTTTCACAAAGGGATTAAATTTCATCAGACTCTAAGTTCTTCTAAACGTTAGGAGTAACATATGTCCATTTTTATAAGCTCATCCCTGAAAGTAGAAACTCTAGAAAACAATCAATTACTAGGTTTGTTTTCCATATTTGTTAAGTATACTATAAAGTATTTAAACCTTTAAACATTAGAAAGAATTTTCACTTGAAAATTAGAGAAACTAAGAGAAAAACCAGAAGGAAAATAATAACTGGATTTGTCAATAGCTTGGATGTGGTTGAGAGAAAGGAGACAGTCAAAACTCATAACCAGTTATACCTAAGAGATCATACAGTATTCAGGTTTATGCCATTGGTAAGTCAGACTGGAAAGGTTAGGCAGGGATGGTATTACCTTTCCTCCAAAAGTTGATGTTCCTTTTCCTGAATATATTATTATTTTGACTCTTCAAATTTTAGTGACAGGTAACATTAAGTAGTAATAAAAGCCCTATAAATAATTTGCAAATGTCTTAACTTTTTTTAAGGCAATTAAGTGATTTACACATGATAGCTTTTTCCAGGTTCTTCCGGTTAAATAGCAGACAGAAAAAATTTAAACATGGCAAGACTCTGACATGTCAAAGGTCACATAACCTTTAGGTACAGCCAGATTTCCTATTAATCTAGTAGTATATTTTAAGACCCATTAGATTACTAAATCCAGTGATCAGTTAATGATGTACCTGACATACATACTGTTTCTTAAAAATCATCCCATTAACTTTTGTGGATCTATGCATTTAAACGTAATTGTTTCAAGAAATCTTCTAAAACCCTTTTGTCATGTTGTGCAGTGCATAGGTAGTCTCAGAGAAAAACTCGAGTTTATCAGATCCTTAGCTCTTTTTCCACAGGTCCAAAAGGATAAATGGATAGAGTGATACTAAGCTGAAACCATTTAAAGACCCAGTATTCGGATGCACCTATTTTAAAATGATGAAGCAGCTTTTAAAATAGAAAAGTATCCAAAATTTTGCTTTCCAGCAAACTAGTGTTAAGGGAATCACTGCTGTCCAAAAATATTTTTGAGATATCAGTGTACATTAAAAAAATAATTTTTTAAAAAGGAAAGCAGTCGTATTCTGGAATTTCTCCCTCTCGTCACCCTAGCCAGATCTCCAACCATCCAAATGGCTACGCCGCATAGCTGAAAGGATTTTGCTCATTTTTTCCAAAACACTTCACATCTGGGTAGTGGCCAACCATGGAAAGTTTCAAGTAAATGTAACATTTGGGAGGGAGATGAAGCTCGGCTGGGGCTGCCTTCTCTGGACCGCGGCCACCAGAGGTGTCGCCTCACGCCCTTACCGGATAGCCAGGGCCAACTGCAAGCTTGGACCAGCCGACCTCCGACCGCCCAGCCCGACGCCAGCTCCGGCCAACCCGGCCGACTGCTGGCCACTCGGCTGCAGGGGCTCTTGCCCGTCAATCTCCCCAACGGGTTCGAGGCCCCAGAGTCCAGGAGCCAATCCGTTTCGTAAATGTCGAGACCCCTGAGTCCCCAGTTCCTAACTAGCGCAGCCTCGCGGTTGGCAAAGCAACAGGGAAGGGACTAAGCTAGAGCCCGGCCTGGCTCCCACGCCTCACACGTCAGTTTGGTTCCCCTCCCCACCCGCCTGCCCGCCACTCCCCCGCCCGACTTTTCGCGAACCCGGCGCGGAGAGAAATTTGACTGCTCCAGTCACCAATTAGGAGAGAGGTCGAGGATATGAGCCAATCGGAGTGGGGAAAAGGGGTAGGACGCGAGCGTCCTCCCGCCCCCGAGAGGGTGAGCGCGGAATGTCTCCGGCCCTCCCCTGCGCCTCAGCCTCAGTGCGGAGTCCTCGGCGGCGTGAGGAGAAGCGGTATCCGGTAGCCGCGGTGGCGCAGCAGAAGCTGCGGGAGCCGGAACCGAAACCACACCCACGTCGCTGCTCCTGTCCTCTTTTGCCCTCTCGGCGTCCCACCGGAGACCGCGTTCCCGGAGGAGAGCGGCCGCCCACTCCCCGAGCATCCTCCCCTGTCGAGCGGGTGCTGACAGACCCAGCGGCATGATGCGACTGCGAGGCTCGGCGATGCTGCGGGACCTGCTCCTGCGGCCTCCCGCCGCCACCTGCGCGGCTCTGAGGCGGGCACAGCCCCTCGCCACACAGTGCCGGCGTCCTCAAGGCGGGGGACAGGGGGCCGCGGGTCCAGCGGCCGCCGCGCGACTCTACCCGTGGTGGGGCGGGGGCGGCCGGCCGGCGGGTCCCCTCGCGCGGGCACTGTCTAGCTCCCCCTCGGAGATCCTGCAGGAGCTGGGCAAGGGGGGCCCGCAGCAGCAGCAGCAGCAGCAGCAGCAGCAGCAGCAACCCGGGGCGTCGCCGCCCGCGGCCCCATCGGCTCCCGGCCCCAAGGACGGCTCCGGGGAGACTGACGCGTTCGGCAACAGTGAGGGCAAGGACCTGGTGGCCTCAGGCGAAAAGTGAGTGTCTCCGCTAGGCGGAGGAGGCCTACCCCTGCGTGGGGCCGGAGCGCGGGGCCGGGCCTGTGGTGGGGCGGGATGGGAGCGGAGGTTCGAGAAAGAGAAAGAAAGAGATGCCGGGCGGCCTGCGCAGTCTGCGCCATGTGATTAGGTCCGGCCCCGCCCGCGCCTTCCCTGCCGGCGCCCCTCCGCTAGGCCCCCACTTCCCTTCCCCGCCCCCGGCGCGGGCCCCCCGGGAGGAGCCGCGGAGGGGCCGGAGGGGCCGGCCTGGTCCCCCGCCCGGGAACTGCGGCCGCCTGGTCCGCGCCGCGTGCTCCGCTCCCCGGCTGCAGCACCTGGCCGCCTGCCCAGCTCTCCGTGGGTGATGCCACACGAACATCTCCACCGAGTGACATTTAGGAGTCGGGTGTGGAGCATACCCTGTGCCTTCCCGACTCCTGACTCGTCGCTTTTCAGGCTCGGGTTTCCTTTGTAAGCCAGCCCTCCTTCGATCTCTGCCACCATCTCTTTAGAAACCTAGCGTGGCAGAATATTCTCAGTATTTCTGGAGTGGCTCTTTCAGGCGTGGTGTGGAGCCATCTGGGGCACCGGAAATAATGTTTTCGAAACGAGATTAGGAGGAAAAGAGTCATGTGGCCGAGATGGGGCACGCAGTACAAGACTACCTGTTTGCAGCGGGGACCAGCTTTGGCCTGTCTGATGTCTTTCATGAGATGGGCGAATTTTTAAAAAAAATAAAAATCAAAATAGCCAAGATGAAATGTGACTGGTAAAACACCATGAAAAATCCGAGTTATGTAGTTTTTGTGACTTAAATACTGATAGAATGTTAAGTCATCTATGCCACACAGTTTTGACTTAAAACGAAATTGTTTTTTCTTACACAATATGTGAAGCAGTTTCTTAGATATTTTGTGTAATATAAATGGACCCAAACTTGGTTTTCCCAGTGTGGGTAAAAATATATCTGTATGCTTTCTTTATACTTTACTATTTTGCTGACATTTTACTGACATTACGCGACCTCTTTTGCCTCCCCGTGGCTTATGTTACTATCTCCAGCCTCATATCACCTTAAGTCAAACTGAAAGTGTCGTTTGATTTTTATATTTTCAATCCCAGGCCTGCTTAACATTTCCTGTAATTGAAGTTGGCACCTTCCTAAAACATTCCAAGCTGAAGTTTTCCCAGACTGAAAAATGTTACTTAAAAAAAAACATACTTGGTGATGGGCAAAACTTGTGGTATTCTGTGATAATGGTTTTGTGCCACAAAGTAGACTTAGGACCATAGGCAGGTCATTTAACATCTTTAGTTAGATGATTTAAATCCCTTCAGGGTCCAAAAAGCTAGACTTCTGTTAAATTTCTACCTCTCTCATGTTTTTTAGGGACTAGCATGTGTGTGCTTAATCTCATCTGGTACTCTCTTGTACCTTATCATGTGGTTTACCAGGCCTGGAACTAATTTAAATACCTGAGCCCAGAGTTACATAATTGCAAAATGCAATTGCTAGCGTTTAAAAGTTGTCCTTAAAGGCTGTAGGATGGGAGCAGCTTTCTATTGAAAATGTCTTCCAGTCTGTGTCTCTTCAGTGGCTTTAGTGTCCCTCTTTTTTTCCTTTTTGTCAGATAGGAAATTGAGCTCAGAAGTTTCTAGCTTCTTTGCCTTCAGAATAAGAAATTATCTCTTAGCCTTAACTTTGAAACACTTTGGCTAATACTTACAATGACACATAAAAATTGTCCTGTATCCTAACCACCAAAGAAAACCAGTCTAGAGAGGGAATCCTTCAAGAATATTTGCTCAGATGCCCCAGGAGTTTGAATGACCAATAAGATAATCTTGTTTACCTTAGTTCAAAGGAGTTTATTTTTCTGCCACCAAAGTTTGGAGTAACAGCTAGACTGGCTCCGGAGCAATCCAAGTATATGATAATCCTGAGAACTTTCAATCAAGGATTTAAAGAGTGAACCCCAGCTGCCTCCATTCCACATATAAAGTTGAAGAGCACTGGCCTCAAGATTGCCAAATAATTTTTAAATCATACTAAAGTTTCGATTTGCTGAATGATCTGGTTTCCAAATGTAGCTTTCCTCCTTTGACTCCTTCCATTTTGCCTTTATGTGATAAACATTTCTCTCATTCTGGGAGGTAAGCTTCCAGTTGATCCTGTTATCCCTTTCTAATGCTCAGCTTCCAAAGCATGGTTCATCCCTCAGTCAGCAAGCCATCTGGAATGCCAACACTCCAGACTCTGCCAGGTTTTATGGGGGATTATTAAAAGAAATAACCATGTGAAAATTAAATGAGTTGACATTTTGTAAAAGGCTTAGGACAATATTTGATATGTGTTAAATACTACATAACTTTATTAAATAAGAAAATTGCTTCATTTATTGTAAAACATGACAAGGACATTGGCCTTTGAATTTTAGGCTCGCACATGAGAACTTTCTTTTGGTTTCTTAGTTTCCAAAAAAAATTTCTCGAGAAATTATTGTACTTTTTATATGAAACTAATTTGCACTGTTTATCTTTTTGGACTGTTTACCAGTAGGCTCAGAGTGAATTTAATAACCATAGCAATTTTATTAATTAGCAGGGCTGAGATATTTCCTTTTTTACTTTACTTGGTCTGACTATATTTTATTAACCTTACTATATTATTTTCTGGAAAGAGGTGGGATATAAGCAAGTTAACTTATTTATTTCCATAGTCAGATTCTTTGAACCAGTGTCATCCTAGGCTAAGCCATCTCCTTCAACCAACTTCAGTCTGGTCTAGATTCCTGATTTAGTTTAAGATTTTACTACTATCTTAAATATCTTATAGAAAATGTAATGATCTTTGCCCAGTTTTGACTGTAGTGCACTTAATTTTTGTTGCTATCATTTCATCATTTTGAAAACCACTTGGCTTGGCTCTCTTCGTTTTTTAAATTGTTCTCTTTGCTTTCCTGGCTCCTTTTTGGATTTGCTCATTGAGTAAACCCTGAGGCTAAAGCCTTTGCTTCTTTCCCACTTGTCTGCCTTCTCAAGAGCATATGCCTTCTCTCAGCTTTGACTTTCATGGTAATATTTCATCTCTCATCCACACTCTTTTCTCACATTTATCTCTACATATTTGATGACCCAAATTTAAAATCTGTGCCCCCATATTCATTCTTCTGTCCCATTTCAATCTATTTTGCCTACTGTTCTGAGATTAATTATAGAGTTTTAATTTCAAACTACCACTCTCCTTCCAGAATATCAATACAGGCTGGGAGTGAGCATTATATCAAAATCACAGACCATGCTGCAGCATTCGGTATTCTTGATCAACTTTAATGCCAAATGCTTGCCCAGTATGGACATTTTATCACACTGTTCTCCATCAAGCATGTCATGCTTCGTTTCTGTAAAGCTCAGAAGTGGGTATCCTGTCTTAATGAAGAGTCCCTGAAAAAGGCTAGCAGGTGGGGATGAGGGACATTTTTGTTAACCTTTTGTTTGGACATTTTATTGTTAATTAGAAGGAAAGAGGTATAACAGAGAAGGACTAGGCTGGGAAAATATCAGCACATGTATGTTCTTTAATAAGCAGGTAATTCATACAGGGTACAATATTGACAATACAGGAAACAGTATTCCATTAAAACAAGGAGATTATTTTTCCCCTATCAGATCGGCAGATGTTAAGTCAAATCAAGCAATGTAGAGGGTGAGGGGAATAGGAACTCTTACATTGCTAGTGGAAGTATAAATTAGTTCAGCTATTTTGGAGGGTGGTTTGGTAGTATTTGTCAAAAACTTCATACCCGTGTTGCAGTTAGTAATTGAATGTTTGCTCATCAGCATGAAGTCATGGCATTTAAAAATATATTTTAAATTAAATGTGCATAGTTAAAAATATATTAAGGGGCACTTGGGTGGCTCAGTTGGTAAGTGTTTGTCTTCCAGCTCAGGTCATGATCTCAGGGTCCTGGGATCAAGGCTCTCCTCCCCACCCCGACTCATGAATGCGACTTCTCTCTCAGAATAAATAAAATCTTAATAATAATAATAAATAAATAAATTTATGTATAAAGTGAAAGAGCGAACAAATATTTTCAGCTAGCTTCAGATTGTGTAACTTATATTTTGGTAGTTAATATTTATTAAATGGAAAGTGAGGGGCAAAGAATCATTGAACCATAATGCTGTAAGAATAAAATCTCAAAGTAAGATTAAATGCTTATGCATTTCAGCAAACACTGAATTGGGCCTATACAACAGTATTGATAATGAAGTTGAGACAGTATTTGGCAGATATAGATCATTTTAAAGTGAAAGAACCTCTCAAATAGGTGACAAATTCTGTCATCCTTTAATAATGCATTTGCTTTTAATTTGTAAAAGTGAACATATTTACTATTCACTTAAAATCAAGATTGAAAGTGTATTTAATTGGGGGATTTCAGTGAACCCCTCTGATTTTATTTGTGATTTTCTCTAATAAAAATGTTTTTCTAGATTACAGTTATCAGTGAGTTTTAGTTATTCTTTTAATGGCCAGTTGTAACATACACCATAACATTATTTGCTGTCTAATATGCATCTATTTAGTCATGGATATAACTGTGGTAATCTGTAATTAACAAACTACATACTGCTTATTAATTTTTAGATGAAGTTCACTGAAAGAGCATGAATTAGATCTTGAACTTTAGTTTCTTTGAGTCTTAGCTTCTTTTCAGGCTTTACTGTTTACAGAGAAGTCTGCCTACTCAAAATCAACTAACTCAGGAAATGACTACCAAATTGAATTCAATTTTTTTTATGAGGCAGTAGGTAGGGAGAAGTAATAGGTAGGAGGGACACTGTTTTAGTCTGGAAAAGCTAAGTGTCATCTTGAAGGGAACTTTGTTGAAAACATTTGTGAGTTTGAGTTTTAAAAGATTATTTGAAATAAGTAAAAAAGATACACTACTTCCTTGTGATTATGAAGTGAAAAATTATGGCTGTAGAAACTAAAA